TATATATATATATATATATAATAGTATATATATATACTGCACGTAAGGGTACACAAAAACAAACTATATGTACACTGCGCGTAAGGGTTTTCTTGAACGGCCATTAAATAAATAAAGTACACATTTCCTAAAGCCCACACTATAAATATCTTTATTTCTCATACCTGAACCTGCTGGTTTCAAATCATCTGTTCTAAGTTCCTATTGAAAAATGGCATACATTTGGCGCTGGTCTAAGGCAGCGAGTGTTACTACACCATGTTCCTTCTATGATATATATATAAAGACTGTTAAACAATATGGTTTCTTAAACTCGTTAGTCTACTTAAGCACATGTAATGCGGGAAACATTTATTGTATAAGATCTTAACGTACTGGTTGAAACCATGACTGCCTATTTGAAAACTAGTGTAGTGTTGTCCATAGTACACACACACATATATTTCATGAAATCTATTCTCATCATTGTTTTCTAAAACCCAGTCTTTTTACTAACACGCAGTGTAGACATTAACTTGTAGTATTATTATTACCATTCGAGCTTGAAATAATTGTCTGTTTTTTTAAGAACAAAGCCAAACAATGGGCTGTCTGTGCTGTGCCCCATAAGGGTGTCGAAATCCGGTTTGTAGCGTTAATAGTCTTCAGACCTATTGTAGAGCCAGGGCAGTGGGGGGCAGTCCGATATAAGCATAATGAAAATTAACAAAGTTATCCAGATATAATTAAGGAAGTCAATCTTTGGAGCTTTAACGTTCATACAAACACGGATCGACAGAAAAAAAAATAAATAAGAGTTCGCTAAAACGATCCGCGTGCGAGAATTAAAAGATAAAACATCCACTTACCAGCCTGATACTTCGTATACCGTTATCTTGTAAAGGGAATCATGAAGTTGCTGGATCTTGTTGCAAGTTACCCTGATGCTGTCACCCATGCTCGAACTGTTGGACAAGCGGAAAGACTTCAAGCTGTTGTCGGTCCTATAAAACTTTGTACCGTCCAGAGACTGCCAGAAAGAATGTTCGGTGAACCACTTCGGAAAACGGCACTTCGCTCCCGAGAAACTCCCTGTGTAACACAGGAAATGAGACAGCAGTAAAGACCATTTTAAAATTCGACAATCATGCTTAGAAAAGTCAGTCTGTAATAAGTCTTTAAAAGGTACCATTAGTGAAGGAAAAGCTTCCAAAAATGTGTTTTAAAACAGCGAATGATCTGAAAAACTTATATAAATGGAATTTAGAATCCAAAGAATCGGAATATATTCCAATTGTGATTCTCAAGATCAAAAAGGTAAAATTTCGTAGTTCCACTAAACTTTGAACCGACAGTTGTAATTGTCGCTGATTGAAATAATTAAGATTAATCTTTCCCTAGGATGTGAATGGACGAAGCTATTTGCTATGTTTTTCAAACAAAACCATAACCGTGTTTTACTGCTAACCTTTGCCACTCAACATTTACTTAAACAAAAGACGTTGTTGTGTCACGTGCTCTAACTGTGTTAAGGTCTTTTTCCTTTATATGAATTTAATTAAGTATCCCAAAGCAATTGAATGTGTGGAGATGTTTTCAATCAATGTGATGTCTACATTTTCAATGTCCACGAGCGTATTGGTTTCAGTTCCATTATTGGGTGTCTAGAAGAATTAACTTCATAAATTTGTCATATATTCTAAAGCCAAATGTAGATGGAGATCCCTATGGCATATCTATCTTTTCTTT